TTGCTAGGAAAATATCGTGGGCAATTTTATTACGCGTTTTAAATTGGATATCAATCGGAAGGAATGAATAAGAACAGCACGTCGCGCTGTTTAAATACAGGAATCTCTTTCGTGTGCGCGCGAGACGAAGTGTATCTTACATTGGATAAGTGATTTAATTTTTTATGTCTTTTCACTCAAAGCTCTTACAGCTTTAAATACAGGAATCTCTTTCGTGTGTGCGACTCTAATCTTCATTGGACTAAATCCCGATTGCGTGGGCATGATTTTCCATAAAGCGTTGCAGATGTAGTGGAAGGAAAGAAAAGTGTTCCAGCAATCCTTCGGGAAATCGATCGAAATGAATAAACTAGGAAGAAACTAATGAATGTGTGTGTAGGCGTGCATGCGTGCAGGCTGCAATAAAATATTATATTACAAGACGATGATTGTTTACTTCAATAAATTGCAATAGAGCGTATAGAGCACAGATTTCTATGTGGCAATCTCGGTGTTTGGTTTCGTGCAACGTAACAAAATTGCGAACAAGAAATTGCAATAAATATTTGAAGAATACATATACGTGTATAAGATATCCTAGATTTCCCATACTTTCTTTCTTATGAGTATTTTTTTAGTCCAAATTACTTTGGCAATTCCAAAGTCCTGTGCAGGTATGTCACTGTAAATAAAATGTATTTCTTTCTCTAGCGCCACACCTATCGGAAGAGGAGATTTAACTTGTTGCAAGCGAGAAAATGTTGCGGGTATCGAACTTGTCTCTAAAACTGTCCAATTAATAAACGACACCTACACACGAGCTAACTAGATCTATCCCGCACGAGTTTCAGAGAACCTGATGCAGTAATATAGATAATTCAATTGACTCTTCTCCTAAATGCTTCGTTATAATAATCGAGAAATTGTAATCTTGTTACAAAAATATGAAATCAAGCGTGCGAAGTGATAACAACTTAATCTGATTTGATAATACTTGACCAATGCTTCAATCAAGCAAATATTATTCGTAATCGTTGTGAAGAAAATATGAATGCATCCGCAACAATTAAACGTCATTTTATATAGCGCGACATTGGAGACGAGGCAGTGGGAGGCAGCGGTCAGCGAATAGAGCGTGCGAAGAAAAGAATATGTACTATAAGATAGTCGAGTAAAGAAGAGAGAATCAATATTTTTTGTAAAAGGATGAAAAATTCGTAGAGCAAAGAGGCGAGTGAAGAGTAGATTAGCTCGGCAAAATTAACAAAATTTACTAAGAAACAAATGTAGCATTTAATGTACTGATATAGATTACTTCCGGGAAGAAAAGGAAAAAGATTGTAATCGTGAACGTTAGGCCAGAAACAAAAGAAAAGCACAAACTGAAGAAAACATTGCAATATAGATCGCTGCAAAAACATTGAATTGCGATAAAATTAAAAATATCGATAATTTTAATATGTTAAATTTAATTTTTACCCTATCATTACTTTTCTCCTTACTTAATTTTTGATATAACAAATTTCCAAACGTTTGGTCTTTTTTCGTATTTCTTTTTACATTACAAGTAAGAAGAGGGTATTTTTTTATTCGCATCAAAATTCTTTATAAGTAAATAACAAAAAACTCCAAAAAGCAGGACGAATGAAAGTCAGCGTGGTAATTAATACGCAATCTTAAATCCTCATTCCAAAAAATAGAATCTTTTTTCCAAAAAATTGGAATTTTTCTTATTTTTAAAATAGGTATAAAAATACCTATTAATACGCAATCTTAAATCCTCATTCCAAAAAATAGAATCTTTTTTCCAAAAAATTGGTATTTTTACCTATTTTTAAAATAGGTATAAAAATAGGTAAAAATACCAATTTTTTGGAAAAAAGATTCTATTTTTTGGAATGAGAATTTAAGATTGCGTATTAATTACCACGCTGACTTTCATTCGTCCTGCTTTTTGGAGTTTTTTGTTTACTTATAAAGATTTATAATTTTGATGCTATTTAATCTTTTCCTTTTTTGACGCATTTATTTTTTGTGAAAAAAAAATCATCCACCTTAAAATAATTCACATCTATCTTATTTTATACTGTTTTGTCTTTCGTCATTGCTGTCTGGTTGATCATACAGAACGGTTTCTAGTCGCAAAATTGTTTCATCTTTATACATATTATTTCCAATTTTTGAATTTGCGATTTCTGACATTCCTAAAAAGAATTTTTATATTTGACTGCGAATTACTTTTTAAGGTATATTATAATGTTTTGTATTACTTTATATTCTGATTGACTTGGTAAATTTTAGTTTTTAATTTATGATATTTGACTGCGTATTGTATGTTTAAGATATTCTTTTACGATTTTTTGCGTATGACTCACGTACAGATTATTGATTCGTCACATTTTATACCGCATTGATTTTTTATTATTATTATTTTAATTTTATGCTATAGAATCTGGATTTCTTTTATGCATGATGGCGTTACCAGCGTTCGTGTTACATTTACTTTACATTTTACATTATCGATCTGTGAAGTACATCCAAATTTTAATGATGGACTGCTACATACATTTGTTGTTGGATACTCAGCGAAATTCGACTTGATTACTTGGATCTATCGTATGATATCTACACACTATATTAAGACTTATACATCGTAAGATCTACGTTTTTAATTATTCTTTATGCTTTGTAATTATATATTTACTTATTTATGTTTTTTTATTTTTATCTGTTATTTATTTTAAATTCGTACTTTGAAAATGACCCGAAGGTGATTGAAACGTTAGTAGACATATGTGTGTGTGTGTGTGTGTGTTTTAGTTGATTTATTTTTATTTCTGTATTTAAGACCAAGAATATTATATTATAATAAAATTTATTTGTTTGGCTCGTAGCTGTTCTTGATTTATTTTTCTATTTGAAATTTTTTTAGCCATTCTCTATTACTTATTTTTAAAATGATTCAATTTTCTTTTAATCTTGGCAATGTCATAATTTCGATCATAATATAATTTTGGTAATGACTGTTTTATATACGGTACAGAAATTCGTATAGTGTAACGTCGATTCTTTCTCGCTCTGGTTATTCTTTTACCTTATACCTGAAAGGTAAAGAGTACCCGGGCGTATCTTTAATCTCGTTTGAATTCTCTTGAATGCTCATTATTTTTATCATCGATTTATCTTTCATTTTAAACTTCCAGAACAAAGAACTGTCCATTTCGTCATGACGAACAGAATATACAGTTTGATTCCCACATTTCCTCCTGTTCACTCTTGAAGATGTCGCGATTTCTTACCTAATTATCTCATTGTCAGTAAAATCCCGATATTCTCTAGTTAATAAAGAAGTTGCATTATTTAAAAATAGATTATAGTTAGGTATAAATAAAGAGAAACATAAATTTTTTAAACAAACAGTGAGGCTCGAAAGAGAGAAAAAAAGGAGATTAAAAAACTTATAAAATTACTATACAAGTTATTTTTCTATTTTAAAATTTAAAAAATAGAAAACTGAATTATAATGTATTGTAAAAAAAACTATTAGTTTATTAAAAATAATTATTTATACAGGGTGTCTGGAAATTACCGTCAAATGTTTCGTGCGTGGGTAGAACAAACTATACTGAGTCGAAAAGTCCTGTACCATTTTGCGGTGTCAGCAATAGTTAACGAGATATTAACGTTTAAAGATAGTCGAATACTTGCGTCCGCTCGACTTACTATTGCCGAAGGTACGGCCCACCGAGCGCACGCCGCGCGGGCCGCGAGGAGCAGGGACGGCCTAGCAGGCGCGCCGGGCCGTTCGAGCTTAAAGGCTCGCGGCGGTGAGCGGGGCACGCTTGCCACACTCCCCGCGCGCCAAACTATCGATGACGGCACTTTGGAAATAATATCTCGACATACAGCGCGCAAGCCGCGAGGAACGGAGATGGCCTAGCAGGCGAGCCTCTAAGCTCGAACGGCGCGGCGCGCCTACTAGGCCATCCCCACTTCTCGCGGCCCGCGCGCCGTGCGCCTACTGTGGGCCGTACCTTCGGTAATAGTGGATCGGGTGGACGCGCGTATTCGGCTATCTTTAAACGTTAATATCTCGTTAATTATTGCTGACACCGCAAAATGGTACAGGACTTTTCGACTCAGTATAGTATGTTCTACCCACGCACGAAACATTTGTCGGTAATTTCCAGACACCCTGTATATTTCAGTTTTATCCAATTCTCTGAGATTATAAATTATATCTAGTTGCTCAGGTATTGTTGATGCACAAAATAGTGAAAATTTTTCTTTATTCGAACTATAGTTTTCATTTAAATGTCTCGTTTTCCCTTGGGATACACTGGGTACTGCCTCGCACCGCACCAGTTATGTGTAAGCACTATACTCACAATCAGCTACTACTAGAGTGGTGCACACCATGGTGCACATTACATCATTATTACGCTAAAACTCTGTTCCCGCTTGACTTCCATTTTCAAATTTTAAATGTCACACTGGCTCTACACTGTCCCTTTGAGACGGTGTAGCAAAATCCCACTTCGTGCATAAAATTTGCTACACCGTAGCCATGGAAACACGGTACACCGAATGAGTGTTGCACTAGTAGACGATAATGCAGTCTAAAGAAAACGCTATAATTAGTAATTTTCACACACGTGTGCATTTATACATTTATTAATTAGAGAAATTGAAGAAAAAAGTCTATGGCCTATCAATCACCTGCTGTTCTTATTTTGTTGTTTCGCAGGATACTTTATTAGTATATGTTCGTCAGAAACTAGAACACGTGGAAAATGTAACGTGCAGAATGAACAAAACTGAATTTGACAAATAATTTCTTTTTAAAAAATCTCTTTATATGAGTAATTATATATCTACGATTTAAATATAAGAATTACTGAACTAGATAGAAATGATAGAATAGATTTAGAAATAGAATACTTAAATGTGATATAAAATCAATTTTTAAAAAAATGAATCGAGTAGTATACAATACTATTTGTAAAATTATAATATTACATATGAGAGTAATTATATAGAGCATATAGAGCAACAGGGAATTAAATCCTGTATTCGTAACGTCTTATATTTTATGAATTATTAGGGATAGCAAAAAATTTTAGATAGAAATTTGAAGGAAATAAATTGATGTTATTTCTTCATAATTATAAACGCATTTTGAAAAACATCACAATATTTGAAAAATATCTCTTATTTTCTTTTAAGTAAAATTACATTTTTTTTAAACGAAAAACAACAAATGTGAATTAAGATTTTGTGTAAAAAACATGAACTAAAAAGATTTCGTTAGTTATAACATATAAAAATTTAATTTGTTATATTATAATCGTTTTAATCCTTTTATCCTGATTTTATTGTAGGTAGTGCCAAAAAGGGCGGCTCTGTTATTCGATCAATTAATGGTAGCTCTACAGAAGGTTGTTGATAATCAAGGAAAAGGTTCAGTTGGAAGCAAAACTTCAGTTGGAAGTAAAGGTTCAACTAGAAATCAAGTTTCAATTGGAAGTACAGGTATAAGCAAGCCACCAGCACATCATTTCCAAGCCGTCAACTCGGAAATCGTCCCTATGGTGGATGACCAAACGGTAGCGAATTTGATATTAACTGTTATTCGAAACGATCCTAATAGCTCGAGCCACATTGTAAGGCAACTATACATTTCTTCACTTTTCATATTTTTATTATAATTTTACACATTCCTGTAAATAACATTATTTACTATAGTACATATTTTAGTATTAAAATAAAAATAATTTATCCTTGCAGTACAATACAAACAAAATTCATATATAGAATACAATGTGGTTTGAAAGCTCCCGCGCATAGCAACCTCTGCAAGAAATTATCATATCAATGGCGCATTCTTTTGTACGTACTTTGGTATTAATTTCTTAATAAAATAGTAAAATGTAATAAAATTAATTAAATATAATAAAATTATTATACAAGGCAAAATAAGTAATAGAAAAAATAATATGAGATCAAAACAGTATGAACGACAAATCAATAATAAAGAAATGTTCGTACATTTGTGCGTGCGGGCCAGTGTGTCTGTGTGTCACCACTAAAATTTAATTATAATACTATAGCTATAAAATTTAATATGAGTGTATTTACATCCGCATTTTTCCTCGTTTCCAGATGGATCTGCAACGACGCGCACTAGCCCAGAGTGAGCTCTTCTGGCGCTGTTACTTCAATGCCCTCGCATGCTTTAAGAAGAAGTGATAATGACCACACCGCCGTCAGTTCTCCTCAATTCCCAAAGATCGAAAGAGTGCGCGAAATTTCGTATTATTTCCTCGACTTAGCTGCAACAGCACGACGAATAGCAGTGCTTTCCTAGCTAGAGGGTCACGAAAAGAAGTGAATGTAAAGTAGCACAAATTCGCATGATTATGGCCGGTATTCATAGTCGGAACTTATATATAAGACTGTCTTAAATACAGTTTTAAGATGTCATGAACCAATCAGAGTCGTATTAGCATTTTAAGACATTACTTAAGACGATCTTAAAATAAAAATGGATTATGAATACCGCCCTATAATCGTATTTGGAACGTCGAAATGATTCTCCTTCAACTATTTTTTTGTCGCGCTAAATCCAGTAAACACGAACTAAAAGTAACGTATCAATGTCATAATTTCACATTCAACAATGTAACTCGTATGTAACATACGTGTTATATTATACTTATATCGTAGAGTATGAATTATAACATTGTTATGTATCTGTTAATTAATGGTTACTGGGAAAGGATACCTCTGCTATTCTTTCCAGCGGCTGTATCGTTACATATCGTTGCCCCATTTTCTCCATCACGGATCATATGCAACATGTCGAGAACCTATACTTAGTCTTTTCCTCTTGCTTATAAAGTAACGATTGAAAATCTATCCATTAAATAACTCTCTTTAAGCATATCAACCAAAATGAAATAATTTGTTATAAACCTAAATTATGTGAGTTTCTTCGATATCTGTTCTTGCGAGTTACTTCTAGATATAGGTATTCTTATTCTCTATTACATTATTCTTTGTCTTTGATGCTAATCGATGAGCATGTTTGAAAAATACATACAATTTTCATAATATCGTCTTGTTGCTGCTGTTTACGTAAACTGTGAAGATTTAAAGTAGAAACTCTGGTAACGGTATTTCTTCTTTTATTTTTATAATTACGTGATACTAATAGAAATGAAAGGTATTTAATGGTATACTTTTATTTGTTATGCCCCGAGAACAACATTCTTAATAACATAAACCCCATAAGAGTTAAGAACTGCAAGAATTTAGATGATATTGATGTATTAATTCTTTTTTCTTTTAATTTGATATGATAAAACTATTAACATCTTGATATAGAATAAGGATTTGCCAACCACAGCATATTTATACAGCATATTTTATAAATCACACAAAAATGTGACTCCTGCACAAAACCAGAAAGAATTTTTTGAAAGATATGTTAACAGTAAGGTTGACTGTTACCATCTGAGCGGCAATTAATAGATTGACAAAACGAATAGATAAGAACAATGTCAAATTTTGTTTATAATCGATGTAGGGTAAAAGCAGGGATTATGGAATAGCTTTTTTTTAAATTAACATTGCTCTGATATAAATGCATATGAAGACTTTAAATTTACACAGAACTCTTGAGGAATATGTTAGCTACAACATCTAATAAATAAAAGTCACCAAAATTTAAGTCCAACGTCAATATTAACAAAAAAGTCAAAAGTGAGGAAATGGGGGGTCTAAAAATGGGATGTAATATGAAATACCGATGAAATTTTGACCATAGTAATAAATAACACAATAAATGAAGTCCAAATTTGTTTATTTACATAAACTGATCAAGAAAAATAGAAAACTGTTCAATTTTTATTGTACAATAATACAGAAAATATAATATTATAGCATCATTACGAACGTTATTACGCATAATATTATAGCATCATTACGAACGTTATTACGCATGGACAAATAAAAAATCGCAAATAAGCTGATAAATCGCAAATAAGCTGATATAGAATACATGTTGTAGTCTTTTTTTTGTGACGCAGGGGAAATGCGTTACGCATCCCCAACTCCCTCGGGGGAGAGAGATGGGGTATGTGGGATTCTCTCTCCAAGCAGGAACTCGGAGAGCCTACCCACTAAAACTCCTGCGGGCGTTCCTAACCCGGAGCAGATGAGACTCATCCGGGAGTTTCGCGACAGTAGTACATCCGGATGAGTCCCTGCATTTTTACTAACTATAACCTATCCTGTATTTACACGAGGGTGTGACGCCGGCGACACACCCTCTCTTTCCCGTATACCCATCTCGTAGGGACCTCGAGCCCCCGCCCTTGGTCCCATGGTTCTTCCCTGCTATGGCTATTCCGTGTTTGGTTCAGACCAAACTGCCCTACTTAAAATTAGTTCTGAGACCAGCCGCCCCGCTAACCGGTGCGGCTGTCTGTCTCCTCCTACCGACAAATATTGTACAAGGGCCATGAGGAGGGGGGTCTAAATTAGAGATGGAGAAGATCCCCTCCCTAGTTTCAGGGTCCTCCCCTATGTTGGGTAGGACTCCTCACCGCCCCGCTAATCGGTACGGTGGCCCCTCCTGTTCTCGATATTATCTCGCTCGCTTATTGCGCCGTTCCCCCTCCCAGGTTCGCGCCTCGCGTTGGTGGGAGAATCGCTCTTTCCCGCTCTCTTTCCATGGCTTCTTTTTTTGCCATGACTACACAAAAAATTCCAGAAATGCTCTTTTGCCTTCCTCTCCTCCCAAGGATGCCACAATCGAGTTCCAAGAGAGGTTTGGTCCGATAGTCTCCATCAGTATCTTTCTTTCTTCTGCCCAAGCACGGCAGCATCGTAAAGTGTGTCTGGACGAGTCATTTCCGCACCGCATAGCCAATATTCTGGTGTGGACTCCCTCCCGATGCGACACAAGTATCTCCCGAAACATCCGTGTCCCGTCATCACCTGTGTCGCCCGGAAGGAGAGCCCCACTCTCGCCTCCAACCATTCGCTGAGTTGATCTCGAATTGCACCGATGACCGCGTCTTCCCCTCCAGATCCAGCAGCCACTGCTTCCATTTCCTTATCGACTTCTTTTTAGTTTCCTCCTTGATTTCCTCTATGATAGCTTTTGGGACCGGTGTGTTTACTGGAGTCGTTCTTCTTACCTCCGCGACCCTCTCATACACCTCCTCCTGATACATGCTGTAGTTTTTTTTTTGGTCACGCTGGGGAAATGCATTACGCATACCCGGGCTCTGGGGGGAAGTAACCCGGGTTATGTGGGACTCTCCCCGAACCTGACGATCCGGGGCATACCCACTAAAACCGCAGCGGGTGTCCTACCATAGGCGCATATCAGACCGAGTCGGGATCTACGTAGCTGCAATACCACCGACTCGGCCCGACGCCAGAGCGCAACTTGCGCTACCATGTCTAACTTGGTCAAAACCTGACCAAGTACAGCTGCAAGGGACACCACCTACCGCCGAAACCTCCAGCCACACCGCATTAAGCAAGGACGCAGAGCCCCCACTCTGCGCCCCTACAGTGTGCCTTGTTACCGCCTAGGTCGCCATGTCTAGGCGTGTGTCGAGGATCACAAAGGGATCCCTAGTCGTCCAATCCTACGACACCGGCATCCGTCCTGGATGGGATGCCCTCTCTCTACCTCTCGTGTTCCTCCTTCTGCCTCATAACATTCTCGCAAAAGGCTAGGAACACCCGGCGATCTGCTTTGGATAGCAGGTGCTTGACTATGTTAGGCATAGTCAAATCTGGCCCTAACATCCGCTCCAGCTCGGCTTGCTGAGCGCTTCAGGCGGGACAATAGCGCAGCGTGTGCAGTGTCGTGTCATTCGGCGACGCGCAGTGCCAGCATTTTGGCACGTTCTCCTTCCCGATGTGACACCGGCAAAAGCATCCATGGCCGGTCAGCATCTGCGTCGCACGGAACGGTAGGCCCACGCGGGCCTCAGCCCATCTGTTTATATTCGGGGCAATCGCCCGTGCAATGCCCGTGCCCTCTCTGCTCTGCTGTTCGAGCCATTTCCTACATCTTCCTTTTCGTCCTTTGTCTGATCTCCGAAATCTTTGATGGAAGGACTCCGTCGATTCCATGTCGTTGTTTTAACTCCGCTATCTCTTGGTAGGTTTCGGCATGCATTTTCGCCGCCAGCTCCAACGGCGGAGTGCACGCTAGCGCCGTAACATCGGCATACGCAGCTGTTTTATATGCCCGTATGATTCTGGCAGCAGACTTCTTCTGGACCCCGTGCAGTCTGCTCAGAATCCGTCGATTCCGGGAGATGTCCGACGCCCAGACAGGAGCGCCGTAAAGAGCCATCGAGCTGGAGACCGTGGCGAACAGTCTCCTCACTTTCATATTGGTTAGGCAGCAGTCTATTCAGCTGAGAGGATACCTTTACCATCTTAGGCTCAATTGCCCTAAAGTGTGCTTCGAATCGCAGTCGGCTATCAAGTACCAGGCCAAGGTACTTTATCTGCGAGGGCACTTGCACATCCACCCCGGCCACGCGGACGAACTCTTCCTTTGGAGCCCCGCGCCGACCAATCGCCTCGGTCTTGTTCGGGGCAACCTGGAGTCCCAGCTCCTCTATTTTGGCCACAACTCCTCGTGTGGCTTCGTTGGCCCCAATTATGGCCTCATCCCAGTCCCGGCCGGCTGCGAGAACGATCGTGTCGTCCGCGTAACAGACGACCGCACAACCGTCCGGGAGGTCAGCCTCGCGGAGGACCCCATCGTAACCAAGGTCCCACAGGAGAGGGCCCAGTACGGACCCCTGTGGGACCCCCCGATCTACCGCGATCTCCGCTAGTTCTCCGCGATCATTGGGGAAGACCAATTTTCTGTCCCCCAGGTACGACCTAATGACCCTTCTCAGGTATAGCGGCAGCCTGTGATGCTTTAACTCAGCGCCGATTACATTCCATGGGAGGGAGTTGAAGGTGTTGCGGATGTCGAGCGAGACACCCACAACCACCTCTCCCTCCCCCCACGATTCTTCTACGTAGCGTCGCACCCACAGGATAACATCCACCGTGCTACGGCCACGGCGGAAGCCAAATTGATTCGCGTGAATGTTTGGGCCGTACGTCTCAATGTTGGCAACCACCCTATCCGCCACGATGCGCTCAAATATCTTCGCCTCGTCATCAATGAGACATATAGGGCGGTATGCCCCGGCGCTGTCAGCTGGTTTGCCCGGCTTGGGCAGGAGAACCAATTTCGCTGTTTTCCACTTGTTGGGGAAAACACCCTGTCGTAGGCACTCCGTGAACAGCGCCCGCAGTTTAACGCTCATGACGTCTATGGCGACGCCCCATGCCACGGCTGGAATACCGCTAAT